GACTTTGGGTAAAGGGTAGTGAGGGCTGAAGAAGCTGGACCGTCAACCTGAGCATCTGCAAACGTTTTGCTGCATCTCCTGCTGTGAGAACGTACTCCGGATGAAAACTGCAAGGAATAAACAACAACAACAAAAAAACTCAGTTCAAGCAACAGGGTTGTTGACTGACATGAAACTGACACCAAACACGTCAAGTAGAAATGGACACTGTGGATGCGGCGCCTTGGCCTCGGGGCTGGAGCTCTGGTGCCTCCTCCCTCCCACCCTGTGATTTATTCTTAGCTGCTTTTCTGGAGAAATAAGGAGGGATAAATAGTCGGTCTTTGCAGACATTAGGTTCACGTTGTGGAGGACCAATGAATCTGATTATAGAGATAGCGACAGTCATTAGTCATTTCTTCTGGGTGAATTCAAAGGTTCTTCTGGTTCTTTAGGCATGATAGATGCTGAATGACTCCACTACAGGTATCAGCCGTCCCAGGCTGACCAGATGCCCTGGCAGACACCGAACGACAAACTGGTTTCCATTTCCATGACAAATGCTGGCTTGCCTCCATTGACAGGCTTCATGGGAGCGAGAGAGGAGACTTAAAAGAGAAACTCCATTATTATTCCTGAAATCATTTCACACTGATTTAATTTCTCTTTTTTTTCTTCTGCCTGGCTCACAACAGAGAGGATTAGCCAAAGGAGCCACCCCACACACACCCCATCGAGCCATTGTAAGAGAGCTTGGTGTGTATATTAAATGGAGCGAGTGCTCTATCTTATCTGTAAGTGACAGGTGCTCCGGTCTCCACCCCCTCCCGACGGCCTATCACAGGCCAGCGACGTGATGATCCATGGCGTTCTGCTGCATAGCGGATTTGTTTCTCGTAATTGAAGCATGTATAGTTATAAGGAGCAGAATCCACGTGTAGCTCGGCGAGTCCGTCCACGGGCTTCCATAGGCCGGCCCAGCAGGATGGCAGATCCGCGCCAGTAATTATGGGCCGAATTAGCAGCTGGCAGAACAGCCCACTGTGTTTATCTGTGTTTCGGAAAGGGAGGGGGTCTGAAAGATAGGGGGCCGGATTATTCTCACCAGCATGCTGGATTTGTAGTGCCAGGCACCCCCGTCGAGGTCCAGGTGAAGGCCAGGCAGCCCCCCCCCCAAATGATGCCCCCTCGTTCGGCTGGCCACCCTCAAACTGGGCAGCTCGAATCGATTTTGGATGGGGGTATCTCCTGGTCATAGGCCGCCGCCTTGTTCCTCACCCCTTGTCCATGAATAGCCGTGTCACACCATCATAATATAAATTATGTAAAGCACCTGCAGAGAGTCATGTTTGAATTATAATACCCCCCCACCCTGGGCCATCTGATTTTTTATGGTTATGTATGCAGTGTTTGGCAATTATGTTAAATGCTCTCCTCTTTAGGTGATAGAGAGCAATTACGGTTTGGAAAGCAGACCCCTGCCACTGCTTTGTGTAAATGAACATCCCCCCTTTTCCTGAGCACTGTAATCAAACAATAGATATTTTGAAAAGCATTGTTATTATACAAATGCCGCACAATTACAGTGAGCGCTTCAGCCTGAATGAAGCTCATTGTGTACAGAAATTACTTTTTTTGTTTTACTGTAAATCGTTTTAGATGCTGCGGTGGAAAGGCACGTGGTTATCCTGATCCATGTCAGTGTGTGTGTGTGTGTGTGTGTGTGTGTGTGCGTGCGTGTGTGTGTGTGTGTGTGCGCGCGCGCGCGCGTCCCACACGGTAAGGGTTATTGATCCGCATCGATCGGCTCCTGTGGGATGTGGGCTAATTCTGCTGCTGGTTTAGCTGTTAATGTTTTTATCGCTTCTCCATGCCTTTTTTTGTCACCTTCCACGAGACGGATCTGCGGATTGGCTCCTCCGGGTCGTTAAAATGATGCCACGGTGTGTTAATTTTCCCCCGAGTAAGCAGGTTGTAGAACCTTCACCGCCATTTCATTGGGGGTAATTGGATGACATTGCAGAGATCTTGGGGATGGTCATCTTGATAACTGACCGATGCAGCCAAAACATGCCCCTTTTTTGCACCCGGAGCAAAGGTTTTATCCCCGTATTAAACTCTGCTTCAGTTTTAATATTGAAATCCATGGTAAGACGTCCATTGTTTTGGAGACTTCAGAAGGTTTGATGGAGGAGCTTCTGCCGTGTTGGAGTTTTTGTCTAAATGGAGGATGGGGGGATCCCATATTTACATGAAATTGAGCCTTATTTCCCAAGAAACAGCCATTATTTGAAGGTGCTTTCTGAAGTCTCTAGAATGAGACGCTGGCGTTTTGCGCTAAGTCAGCTGACACTGCGCAGCGTCCTGATCGCTGCTGGTTCTGAAATCCTGGGCTGCTCATGTCAGGACTGTTTACAGAGCTGCTGGGGGGATTCTCCCCTTAGTGTTCATCATCTGCTGTTAAAGGAGTCTATACCACATAAGTACGATTTTCTGTTAAAACAGTCGCTAATCACATAGGCTGGTTTTCATTCCCGCCGAGTGCTTAATTAATCTATAATGGTTATGATTGATTGAGCTGCTGATCAAATGAATTGTAACAAACCCAGATGGGGCAGTTTCAGAATATTTCACTTGTGAGTAATGAATTGTTAGCGTAGGGCGACTTGCGATGAATTTAAGACTTATTTTTTTGTCCATGAATAATAGTGTTTTTAAATTTAAAATAATCTGTGAAATGCAGTAATTGTTCTTTGCATTTCAGAATTTGAGAAAACAAAGCATTAACGAAATTGAGTTAAATTTAGTTACAGTGGTACCTCGGTTCTCAAACTCACTAGAACTCGAATTTCTTGAAAGTCGAACAAACCAGTTTGACCTAGAACTCAATCTGAATATCAGAAGTCGAACCGTGAACACTGACCTAATATAAATTGTACGCACCAGGAAATGAGTCATAATACAGTGCAATTCTTACTTGAATGCCTTCTTCGCAGACTGGACGATTAACCAAATAAAGCAGCGCAACATTACAGTAACTAACAATAAATAAACCACTAACTTACGTGTACTATTAGAGCATTTATGTCATTTATTTAAACTTTATTTTACCAGGTAAATTAACTGAAAACCAGTTCTCACTGCTTTACGTGATATTCGGGAGAAATAGCAGATTACGCATCGGAACTGCCTGGGATACAAACGTCATGCGTGTAACTAAACTCTTCAGCCAATAAGGGCAAAGGTGTGCCGTCATGGAGGCGGTTCCAGTTTGTGCAGCCGGGTGAGAGGTCGCAATGCATCTAACCGTAATGCATTGCGTCAGGATCAGAATGAGTTGCTTTAAGCCAGCGCTGTAAGCAAGTCGAACGCACCCAATGACCGGACTGGGGAAGCAAACTGAAACGCGGACTTAATACAGAGGACTAATGACAACCAGAAACAGCCAATCACATGGGGATCCCACGCGAGGTTAACGAGGGGGCGTGGCACATGGAAGGAGCGGACGATCGGGGCAGGACAGGGGAAATGTTGGGATAAGATCTTTATCGTTTTGGAAGCCATTAAGAAAAAAAATGCTCTTCTTGTTTTATCCTGTTCATTTTGTGTTTAAGTGCTAAAAAAAAAAAAAAACATATTTAGGTGTAATTTTGGGGGACCAGGAACCAATTAATTGGTTTTCCATTATTTCTTATGGGAAAAATTCGATCAGAACTCGAACTTTTTAGGATTCGATCCGGAGTCCAGAACAGATTAAGTTCAAGAACCGAGGTACCACTGTATTTGGATATATTAGATTCATGAAATATACCCAGAATGATTGCTGAATATTAAATGTGCTTTTCAATGAACATCAGTTAGTTTAAGACCCTGTTAAAAATTATGAATCCTCCCTGAGCACTTTACTGTGATTTGAAACTCATGATTCACCCAATCAACAGATCGGTAGCTGTTAATTAAAACAGGCAGACGCTGAGGTTCACCAGCTCCGGGGTGCAAGACGTCAAGAAATAGGCCAGAAGGTGAATAAAATTAAGCTGTTTGTTGTATGGATTATTTTGGGCTGAAAAGCCACAATCTGTAGGCCGTAACGCCTGGACTGCTTAGTGGGTTCCCCTTCAGGTCAGAGGTCGTGACCTCATTTTGCATGTGCGTTGGGTTTGCTCTTAATGTTTTGTGGCTTAATTAGAGGGGCTGGACAGATTGGCTGTCAAAAGGCATGCTGCAGTTTGTCCATAATGGTTCTGTGCTGCCTGGTGATCATGGCACATCAGTGAAATAAAGAACCACAACAAGCGGCTAAGGGAGAAGCTGATGGGCTTATTTACATGTTGTGATGACATCTCCCTGCAGTGTATATGGCCCCTCATGGGTCGTGATTGTTTGTCATGTGGTTTGTGAGAACATGACTTGGTCCTTGAATAGTCTTATTAGGTTCTTGCTTTGTTGGAAGTCGTTGCGTAGATGTTGCTCTCTAGCTTCTTCTCCAATTCTGTTGACACAGCTGGGCTTTCATCTGAAGTTCAGCATAGTTGCTCTTACGCCTTGCTGACTCCTTGACAGCACTTATGTTTGTAATGTGCTATTTGTCCCGCTTGAACGTCGCTTCAGACAAAACCGTCTGCTAAATTAAAATAGATGTAAATAACTTCTCCTTCTTGCATCGTATGTGGCCTCTGCGTTCCTGGACTGAATGCGTCACAGCAGTGCGATACGGCTGTTCCATTTCGAAGGCTCCTTTAAATGCGGTCTAGCAATGCGTCCTCCTTTTGCTAAGTCATGAAGGATCCACCCGAAGGATCCTTCGCAGCCCAGCAAATGCCAGGATTCACTGCGCAGAGGTACAGTGGGTGTGTCCCAGCTAGGTGATATAGGTGATAGGAGAGAAGCTCCGTGACTCAAGGGTGACTCCGTCGCATGTGACCTCTGATATGATGTGACATGGTTTGTGATGATCTTGCTTCTCCTCCTCCTTGACCTCTCCCTGACCATCGCCCCCTTTCTCTCGGCCTCTCCTCCAGGACCGTGGGGCCGATGCATGGGCAGCGAGTGTGGCCCCGGGGGCCGGCAGAGCCGGGCGGTGTGGTGCGCGCACGTGGACGGCTGGACCACGCTGCACACCAACTGCCCGCCAGTGGGGCGGCCCGACAACCAGCAGAGCTGCTTCCGCGTGTGCGACTGGCACCGGGAGCTGTACGACTGGCAGCGGGGCGAGTGGAGTCGCTGCGAGCCCGTGTTGGCGCGCGCGGCCCGGGCGACGGCGGGCTGTGCACGCGGGGAGGAGGGCATCCAGACGCGGGAGGTGCCGTGCGTGCAGAAGGCCGACGGCACCCCCGCCGACGACGTCATCTGCGAGTACTTCGAACCCAAACCACGCCTGGAACAGGCCTGCCTGATCCCCTGCCCGCGAGACTGCGTTGTCTCCGCCTTCACGCCCTGGACTCCCTGCTCCAAGACGTGCGGGGCCGGCCTACGTAACCGCGTGCGCGGCGTGCTGGCCCCCCCTCTCTTCGGTGGCTCGGCCTGCCCCAACCTGACAGAGTTCGAGCCTTGCCAGCTGGCCCAGTGCCAGGGTGAGGAGGCCGTCTACAGCCTGAAGGTAGGGCCCTGGAGTTCGTGCTCGCTGGCCCAGTCACGCCAGGCGCGCCAGGCCAAGCGTAGGAAGAACAAGGAGCGCAGCCGTCAGCGGACGCGGGTGAAGGACCCCGAGGCCCGCGAGCTCATCAAGAAGAAGCGCAACCGCAACCGGCAGAGCCGGCTGGAGGGCAGGTCTTTCGAGCTGCACGTGGGCTACCAAACGCGGGAGGTGATGTGCACACACCGGAGCGGCATGCCCGCTGATCTCAGGTCAGTCCAAGCTGTTTCGGCCGGCACAGCCTCAACAGTAGCACGATATAGGCAGGGCTGGATCTATCTTTCCAAGGACCCTAGGCAAAGCTTTACTTGGGAGGCCTCCCTACCAAGAAAATTAACGATCATATAGTCAGCCATGTTTCAGCCTGTACGTAAAAATATGAATGTGATGTACTGTATATGGTTTTGTTTTTTATTGTTTTAAATTTTTGTGTAATTCTTTGTATTGTTGGTGGGCAGTGGTGGCTTGATGGTTAGGGAAGCGCACTTGTAATTGAAAGATTGCAGGTTTGAATCCTAGACCAGCAAGGCACCACTGAGGTACCCTGAGCAAGGTACCGCCCCCAGTTACTGCTCCCCGGGCGCTGAATTAGCTGCCCCCTGCTATGTCACGAAAGTCACACATGGGTTAAATGCAGAGGACACATTTCGTCGTTGCGCACGGTGTGCTGTGGTGTGTTAACACTGATCACATGACTTTGTCTGGGCCCCCTTCTGTAGACTAGGCAGCTGCTGCGTTTCCTATGCCTGAATATACAGCCGCTTATTTAAAAATCTCCAAGAAAAGCCAGTAATTTCTGAAGTAAACACCATAGCTGAAGGGAACATGATTAGCATTTAGTGGTACAACTTTCTAGGGCTGCAGGGGTGCAATTAGATGGCCGCCCTTGCTGTACGCTTCATGTTATGCTTCCATATGTTGTGTGTGTAATTCGACTAATTACATTTTGCTGTGAGCTTCGATCAGTTAAAAAAAGCCTTTTGGTAACGGTGAATACTCCATCCATTCGTCTGCCACTGCCAGTCATTCAAGTACAAGGCCACTGTGTAATGATGAATAATTATTTTGTATAGTCATCAAATTAACTTTTAATCATTGCTCAGGCAGAGTGAAAGCATTGCTTGATTAATCTACGGGATCGTTTGATTATTACTTGCTAGGGGCGACATCTGCATTCTGTGCACCGCAGGGAGTAGATTGGAGTCTTGTGGAAGTTTCACATAATGCTTAGGGTGGGTGTAGGGTGAGAGCGTGTCTGTCTCAGGTGTCTTTTAATCTGCCTCTTCCTGATTGGATGGTGTACTGCACAGGTCAGTCTTACCTCTTCTTGGGGTTCTAGTGAGCTGATCCATGCTGTCACCCACGCCCCATTCTGTTGTTTCTTTGACCCCCCCCTCCCCGTGCGAGTTTGTATCATTTTTCCTTCATCTCAGCGAAACAGTTTCTTCGTTTCCCTCAACGAAATCGGTCCCCCACATCTGTCCCTGAGTCACATGACTCTGCCTGCTGCAGTTCATCTGCGGGTGAGGAGACAGGCCCTCCGGTCACCATGGAGATGTCTCCCCCCCCCACCTATCTTTTAGCGTGAAATCGCACAGAAGATCAGTCTAACCACTGGTTACCTTTAAAGCTGTTTTTAAACAAACATTTGACTGCCTGATCATGGGACCCGTTACTGGTGGCTAATTGGACCACGGCAGCTTGTCACATTTGTCCAGCCCCTGCTTCATCCCACTGAAGCTCACCACAGGGGTGGGCAATCTGACCATTTTATATCATGATCGATCTTGGAGACGTCCACCATCTTCTTCTCATGTGAATGATCGTAGTCTTTTATATCCTTCTACATTTTCCTTTCAAACTTCATGTGAAACTTCAATGGCCAGTAGTAACATGTGTCACTAGCCAGGGGATATCACACTTCCCCATCCGCCATGCCGGTAGCTCACGTCGAATTGTTTTTCAAATATGTCATATATGAGAGAACCCCTGATCAAGACCTGTAATATAACCTGACCAGTCGGCACAGCCATCTAGTAGGAATTCATTTTGTTGGCTTGTGAACGTAGCATGGATCCAAGGTGTAATTACTGGATATTTTCCATATTCTCCAGGTTTGGTTCACTCTGAACTACAGGGGCATATAGAGTCACCCCCCAGCCGTGATTGGGGTACCTAACGACACCCTAAATACACACTCAGAACCTTCATGAAGCAGACAGGGGACACAAAGGATCCAAATTCTTAATATCCTATATCAATGCCTTGCTATCCTGTTCTAGACTGGTGGATGTCACTCTCTAGCTGTCTGTGAAATGAACCTTTTGTAGTGATTAGCGGCAGCATGGTGGTGCACTGGTTAGCACTGTTGCCTCACACCTCTGGGACCAGGGTTTGAGTCTCCGCCTGGGTTACATGTTTGTGGAGTTTGCATGTTCTCCCCATGTCGTCGTGGGGTTTCGTCTGGGGACTCTGGTTTCCCCCCACAGTCCAAAGACATGCTAAGGCTAATTGGAGTTATTAAATTGCCCGTAGGTGTGCGTGTGTGAGTGTGCTCTGGGATGGGCCCCCCCATCCTGGGTTGTTATTCAGGTGCTTGACCATGCAGTGCTCTATAAGTGAGCACCAGAACTTTAAAACACACTATAAACTGCACCGGAAGCCAATGCAGTAAGTACAGGATTGGAGTGATGTGTAGATAAGCAAAGTTGTTAACTATCAGGCAACTGGCATGACACCAACACTTATTAATCTATATTATCCCATTATAAACCTAAAATTACCTACTGTACATCAGAAGCGTTGGTGTAGTTTGCAAACCCTACAGACTATTTACAAGGTAATGAAACTCTTACATACATGTAAATGCGTGTGCAGACTTCTCTCAAATAGAAAATCTCACTCCAGCAAGCTGACCAAAGTTGGCAACCCTGAGATAAGTGCTTAGGTTTGTTCGGGCCTAAATATTCTTGAGGGTGCATTTCAAAATTGGGAAGATCGCAATTCAGATCATGGGTTGTGATTGTGTGTTATAAATATCACAACATGGTTATTTTTTGGGATGACCACCCACCCCTAGTTCATCATATGTTCCAAATGTTTTCCATCTCTTCACCTCGTCCTCGCAGGGGATTAAACACCACTTATCTGCAGAGGGTTTACAGCTGACTGTGTCATGGTTCTGATTCTGTGCCATGTTAGGGTTGATGACCCTTACCGTTACAGTGGGAATCTAACAGAAGGTTGTCTGGTCAGTTACAAGAGCAAATACACCACATTTGTATGCTAGAATACAGCTAAATGCACAGAGCCTGCAGACAGGGTCAAGAGGCTCGTTTATTGCTTGGCTGCGCATTTCAGTGGCCAAGATGGCCGACGCCGAGCGCTTCTTAAAGTGATGTGATGTCGCTGAATTTCTGAAAGTCTGAATTCAGGGGCTGCCGGAGCATTTCCGAATCTGCCACCTTCCTTTCACACACTGCAGCGTCTACAATTTATAGAGAACAGTGCGATAAACAAAAAGCATCCAGTCAGCCGCATATCTGTGAGCGAAAATACTTCATTTATGGCAGAGGTCAGAGGAGAATCGCAGCGAACTGGGAGGTCACAAGTGCACAAATAACAATCTCACATAACCCGCCTGCTTCAGAAGTGGTTCTGGAGGAAACGGTGGATTCTACCTATTCAACAGCTAAGGGGTACAAATAAAATGGTCACTGAGTGTTTTTTTTTATATCAGCAATATTCAGCTCCACACACCTATACAGGATAAGTGGTTGGGAGATGGATGGATGGAATAATATTATCATTAATAAATAAATAAATGGAAAGCACATACATCCCCCCTGTTAAAAATTAAATCAACTCATCAATCATCAGAATTTCTTTATTAAACAGCAGGGTTGGCTGCCCCGCACCGTTTCATTAGTAAAGGTAATATACACGTCAATAATGGAAGGTGTGACAGGGAATATTGAGGTTCCCTCTCTACACAAAGACCCCGTTCCCACCGGCTGTTTGGGCCCTTTTTCTGTGGGTTAGATGAGGTTAATTGTTATGGGATGCCTCCTGGCCTCGCCGGTGCTGGCTGCAAATGCGCTTGTGGTATTCGGGGACCCTCCGAAGGGTGGAGTCTGAAGGGGGGAAGGAATCAATACCATCCTGGGCCCCCCGCTGCTTTCGGGCGAGGCCTTGGGATTCTCATGTGGTGTGGAGCGTAACCCTTTGGATTTATCTGGGGGAGCAAAAGTCACCAAAACAGCCAACTGGAGAGCTGGACAGACACGGAAACTAGGAATAATCTGTCCCAATGTTAGAGGAAACCCTGAATTATATTGTTAACAATTAATAACCAACTGGATGTTAGTGTTGAGATTTTCCCCTTTCCTCCTACATCCCCTCTCCTCCTACATCCACACTCCTCCATCGCCTCACAAGCGTTTGTCTGACATATAGATTGTAGCAAAGCGAGAGGCATCACATCTCAATGCATGTATTGCTGGGATTCTGTTTAAACTACACGCCTGCGTCTTTGGTGCCAAATCTGCGGAGAAAATAAAATGAAAGAATATGGGCTTTATTTACTTTTAGGGGGGCTTGGAAAACCTCTGGGGGAGGGGGGTGGGTGGCATGAAAGTGGCCTCTGAAGGAGCTCTTGCAGGCAGGGGGGCAGGAAGAATGGGGTAGGCATGTAATTACCCCTAATAGCCTATCAGGCACGACGCGTCAACACCGGGAGGGAGAAGGACAAAAAGACAGATAATTGCACATTTTCGATGATTCGTTGTGAAATTACCAGTCATTTAAGGAGTCCCTGGCCATGCTATTTACTATTGTAATCTCTCTTTATGAAAGAGCTGTGATTGCTTGTTTGTGCTGCTTTGGAAATTGGAAAAACAAAATTGCCACGTTTCTAATGAAAAGTGTCCTACTTCAAGCCGATACCTCCTTCCGCTGTCTCTCTCCCGTTCACTTTCCATCTGAAGTGCACTATAATAAAATAAATGAAAAACACAGTTTGACGGACGGGACTGCCGAGCTGTGGTCACTCTTTGAGGCGCATGATTGGCAGGCGGAACGTTTGATTGACGGCTCCTCCCTCCTATCGCAGCCTGTGCTCCCAGGAGACGCTGCCGGTGGCCTTCCGTTCGTGCCTGGTGACCAAGGACTGCGAGGTCAGCGATTGGTCCGAGTGGGGTCCCTGCTCCAAGAAGTGCTACGACCTGAACGGCCCCAAGGGGCAGCGCTCGCGCAGCCGGCGCGTGCTGCAGGTCGCCGTGGGCGACGGTGCCAGCTGCCCGGAGTTGGAGGAGACGGAACCCTGCGTGCCCCAGGGAGACGGCGTACCACCATGCCCTGTGTAAGTCACCCACATCGTGTACACTGCCGTATCCATGGCGACCATGCTGATAAGCTAGGTGGCAGACAGCTTGGCCTGTAGGAATTTTGGAGAAACTCACTTAAACATGGGCAGAACATACAAGCTGCATACACACAGAACAGGGGTGGGATTGGACCCCCCAAAGCTAAAGGAGTGAGACCACAGTGCCCCCCTGCAGGACACAAACCTATATACCACCGGCAAAGCCTAGAGTAGCTATTCTACATGGCCAGAGGTATGTGGACACTCCTGTTAATGAACGGAATTGCCGAATTAAGCCGAACTCATGGCTTAGGGTTACAACCCAATCCATGTTAGCAGGGACACTCTCAGCTGCTTCAGGTTTTACAAACTACTTTCAAACTGAAAGGCTCCTGTGATTGGCTAAAGAGCTCAGCTCTTCTTGTGCTTTGGCTGGTTTGTTTCCTTGACTGAAAGACTCATCCGGCTGTTTCGCATTAACATTTGTGGCACGTGCACGATTATAGGAGACTGACCAATCAGCACACAGCAAGAAGTCGGTGCTTAAGTGAAATCCAGGTCCTTTTGATTTAAATGGTAGCTTACAAATCTTGTCTTTAGATCAAAGTCTCCTTCCTGACATGGACTGAGTCCGAATTCAGATTCATAGTGCGAACCTTCAAAGGAAGCAGCTTACAAATGCTACTTAGATTGTGTCCTTTCTAAGCTGCATTTGAAGGATCCTCGGATTACGCCGTAAACCCACCCATTGCTCTCGCAGGTGTATAATTAAGCACACAGTGACACAACGAACATTAGTGTCTGAATGGGCGCTTGTACAGAAAAGGTTAGTGACTTTCCATTTGGTACCACAATAGGACGCCATCTTTCTGCCCTGCTAGAGCTGCCCAGGTCAAACAGGACAAGTGATTGTGAAAGTCAAGTGATTGTGAAAGTCAAAATGTCTTGGAGCAAGTCCAGTCAAGTGGTCGGCCATACAAACAAATCCCACCAGCAAAGTTCCAACATCTAATGCGAAGCTTTCCAGAAAAGGTCAGGCTTTTATAGCAATAACGGTGGACCGGCCTCATATGGATTCCCTTTGCTTTGGAATGAGATGTTGGTCATGCTGGCATCTACATACTTTTGGCCATATGGTGTATGTGGTGGGATTTAAGGAGAATAACTTGTGCACTTTTAGGTAGTGACTTAAAAGCCAAGCTGTGACCAGCAGCCTCTACTGGATACGTGTTTTTGTTTTCTGGTAACTGATCTACCGACAACAACAGAAGAGGCGGGAAGGTGGCTCAGCGGAAGCAGCAGGGAGACGCGGCTGCCTGCTCATTGAGATATTTCCTGTCATGCGTGAGCCGTGGGGAGCCCTGGGTGTAAGATGTTGCCGAGAACATATGGGCTGAGACGGAGATGAAGGCTCGGAAAACCGGACCCCTGCCAGCCGCAGACAGACGGCCGCTGGAAAGCGGGGCGGCCGCGAGCACGGCGTCCGACTCGTCTGACGTGCCCTAGAAATGCCCGTGCTTATCAGGCGCTGACGCCCTCCCGCTGAGACGCACCCGCCTGAGCCAGCTGTGACCAAACACCTGCTTTTGTGACCACACCGGACTCACAGCATTTACAGCCGCAGAAAGTAGCTTAGCAGCTTCCTTTGGGATAATAAAAGGCAGCCAGATAGGAGATCAAGCTTTCACGTCACATGTGGCCAGACCTTCTGGGTCGTTTTTGGGACCTGCACCTTCGGGTTATTTACAAACACAAACAAAAGCCTCAAATCTGCAGCACTCCAGGGTAGCTCCACAATCCAAAAAAGACCAAGCCTCTCCTCAAACTACCACGTACCTAAGGTGGGTCACAGGGGTTTATCTGAACTTCCTGACCGAAGGTCCTCTGGTACGGACTCCATGACACTGTCGTCACCACACACACACTTTCCCATGGCAGGTTGATATACTGTACATGCCGCTGCCATCCGTCTGCGTGCTTCCATTTCTCGGAATCACTTATCGACAGCGGAGTACTAAACAGGCCCGGGAAATGAGTGGGTGCGAGTGGCAGCGAGGTGGAGCCTTTCACTGCAGACGCTGAGGTTTCCTGCTCCCTCGGGCGCCGTTGGACTGATGGAGACGCTGGCGCCAATGGAGCCCGGACCTCATGAATATGGAACGGCGTGAGATGGCAGGGGGGCCTGGTCCAGTCCGGCAGGGACTCCGAGCTCCGGGCTGGGTTCCCTTTCACCTCGCACGAGGGGCTGCGCTCGCGGTCAGCACGCCCGCTGTGAAAACATGCCGTTCATTAAACTTCCCGATTACATTAAGAAGATTTAAGACTTGTGGTGTGTTTTAAAGGAATCGTCTAAACGACGGCTAATGGAAGGTCGAAGTAGTGCCAGTAGATTTATGAATCTGTCCACAGACTCACACACACAGTAGATAAAGGTTTATAGCATTACCTCAATGGAGTGTCTATAGCATTGTTTTATATATTACCTCTATATTCTGTATATAGGCCTTTTCAAATAATCCATGTTTAAACGTTGTATATCTGCATTAAGATATATTTATTCCTTTTTAGTTATTTAACTAGTTCTCAACCCTGTTCTTGTGGACCATCAGGCTTAATAGGGCTTTGTGTTATGTGATTTGTTTTATAGCTCATAGAGTTAATAAGGCTTGCTACAGTGACACATCCCCCGTTTTGCCATTTGTAAGCAGTTATTCAGACAAAGACTGATTTTATTTATTCATCCATTCCAGTTTTCATACTTGCTTGTCTTGTTTGGGGCTCCGGGGGTCAGAGCCCCACCCCAGAGGCTACAGCCACAAGGCACCTACAGTATGTGTTCCTCTCATTTTACGGATTTTTGTCATTTTTTTCTTCTGCAAAGCCGGAGCGTTTCACTGAGTATGGATGACCGATTAGCTCATCCCTCCCCCGTTTCAGCGTGCAGCGCAAAGAGCGATGGCTGCCAGCGCTGGTCAAAGGCTTGTTCCGAAGCTGGGGCTGGTCACGGTTCTGTCTCTCTGTCTCCATTGCAGGTATAGCTGGAAGACCACAGAGTGGAGCGAGTGCAGGGTGGACACGCTGCTGAGCCAGCAGGACCGGCGCCGCGGCAACCAGACGGGCCTGTGCGGGGGCGGAGTCCAGAGCAGGGAGGCGTTCTGCGTGCAGGCGTCCGTCGACACGCCCTCGTCCCTCAGCTCCACCAAAGAAGGTAAGGGCGCCCGCCCCGTCCCGCCCACAGCACAGCGGCTTTTGTAGGTTTATCCATCCCATCTGTAAGTCTGAAGACCCCGTGTCACGGTTTGTCAGGGGGCCTCTCCCCCACGTTAACGCCGTGATTGATGGAAACGCCCCAAAACAGCCCGTGCTTGTTTCTCATTGACCGCTGGTCAATTGCAGTTAAGACCTGAGGGTGGATGTCTATCATAAGCGGGGGGAGGGGGGTGGCTGAAGCGCGTAGGAGGCCATGGTGATGTTTCTTGGGCATGACGGAGTGCCACGTAGGACGTGTCACATTGGGGCTGAACCCTCCATGCTACAGATGACCGCGTGATGCAGTGGGATTTTGCCAATCCGTCACACTTTACAGCCGTCTTTGGGAATTGCAGGGTGACGCTCCACAGAGATGGATTACCAATTACTGTTTCGCTTTCTGCTCCAGTTTCTTTGTGTTTTTTTCATTCTCTTGATTTCATTCCTGGTTACCTTAGCTGACTGTATGTCTAAAAATATCCAAGCTGGCTGCCCGTTTCTAACAGCTTCACAATATCAAAGATGAAAAATAGCACACATTTCGTTGTTAAATGGGAGGATTAGAACTCCCTTGCTTTTCATATTGTAATGCAAGTAAAGGAATAAAAGAAGGATAGAAGCTTCAACGCACATGAGGGGTGGAGTGAAACGGACCAATCAGATGAATGGCAAAGAGGATCCGAGTCACACCCTCCTCCCTCTCTGTAAGGAGTGCAAATTGACCTCGGTGGGTAGTGAGATTAATAAATGCGTGAAGAATGAAGAGTTTTTCTCATCATGCATTAAGTTTGGTGGAAATTAAAAATGAATGAGAAAATGAGTTGAATCAAAGGAATGCAGCCGGAAGGCGGAACATGGAGGTGGGCGAACAGGATATCAAAGCCGGAACAGGATATCAAAGCCGGAACAGGATATCAAAGCTCCAGCTGTGGTCAGCCTGCAGCCATGGGAGGGGATTTCCTTCCATATCGGTGAAAGGAAGGGCGCCCCCCCAATGGGCAACAGCTTCAACAGCCTATGGCGGCAGCCTGGTGGGTCTATGGTGGCTAAGCAGGCAGGCTTGTACCCTGGAGCTTGTTGGTTCAAGACACCAGAGAGCTTTGCTGTTTTACCTTTTAGCAAAGTATTTAGCCTGAAATATCCAGCATTTTACATGGATGCAAATGGAGTTATTTTCAGTTAAGCAATTAAAATTATTTTTTGTTAAACAGAGAAGGTAAAAGCACACATGGACTTGAACTTTGATTCACAAATGAGTGTATTGACTAAGAAAACATCCCTGCCTCAAGCCCTGTGCTGCCTCCGATAGGCTCCAGGCTCACTATGACCCTGTATTGGAGAATCAGTTATGGATGGATGGACACAAATTGGTAAACTGGCTGATACCCACACAAGGATCCATAGCTCCAAATATACACAGCTGCTCTTATACATGGGAGATGAAAACCAAATTAAAATTAGTTCTCACCATGCAAAACATACCATCGTGTTAAAGTCCTTCAGGTTTTGACATATATTTGAAGCACCCAAAGCAGCATGGTGGTTAGCACTGCTGCTTCCCATCTCTAAGACCAAGGTTCGAGTCTCTGCCAGGATACCATGTGTGTGGTGTTTGTATGCTCTCCCTGTGTTGTTGTGGGATCTCCTCCAGATTCCCCCCCCAGTACCAAAAAACATGCTGGGGTTAATTGGAGTTGATTAATTGCCATTAGGTGTGAGTGGTGTGTGACTGTGCCCTCAGATGGGTTGGTGTCCTGTCCTGGGTTGTTCCCTCCTTATGCTCATAGACTCTGGACCTGTGACCCTGAATAGGACAAGCGATTTCAGAAAATGGATAGATTGATTAAAGCAACCAATTCCAGAACCTGTAATTATGTAGCTCCCTGTCATTAGCGAGGCGATTAGTTTGTAATCTGTGTCAGTGTAGGAAGAGCTGTGTCAAAACTTATAGGGAGACAGGGGGCTAAGCAGAAATGGGACAGGAGTCAGGGCCTAATGAGAAGTTGTACTGGACACTGGACAGATGTGGATTGCTGCTATTTTTAACCCTTAACAACCAGGCAGGGCATTATGTGCTGCTTAATGCAGGATGGCCATTGACCTCCGTGAGGGATCGGGCAGCAAGGTAAAGTCTGGTGGTGGAGTGGAGTCACACAGGTACAGGCCATGGGACTGCCTCTGGCTGCAGGGGCCCAGAGGAATGTCCTGTGAGGCCAGGAAATGCCACACAGAAAAAGAGAAGCACAGAGAAAAACAGACACAGAAGAATACAATGAGACCCAGAGACAAAGAGGAACATAAATAGACTCAGAGAGACACAGAGAAATACAAAGAGACCAAGAGAAACACAGAGGAACACAAAGAGACACAGAGAGACAAAGACAAACACAAATAGACCCAGAGAAACACAGAGAGACACAGAGAAATAGAAAGAGACCAAGAGAAAAACAGATAAACACAAAGTGACCCAGACAAACACATTAAAACCCAGAGAGACACAGAGGAACACCAGGAGACCCAGTGAAACACAGAGGAACACAAAGAGGCCCAGAGAAACACAGAGACCCAGAGATGTACAAAGAAACCCAAAGGGACCCAGAGAGACACAGAGAAACACAAAGAAACCCAAACACAGAGAAACACAGAGACCCAGAGAAATACAAAGAAACACAGAGGAACACAAAGAGACCCAGAGAGACACAGAGAAACACAGAGGAACACAAAAAGACCCAGAGCGACACAGAGAAACACAAAGAGACCCAGTGAAACACAGAGGAACACAAAGAGACCCAGAGAGACCCAGAGGAACACAAAGAGACCCAGAGAAACTCAAAGAGACCCAAACACAAGAAACACAAAGAGACCCAGTGAAACACAGAGGAACACAAAGAGACCCAGAGAGACCCAGAGGAACACAAAGAGACCCAGAGAAACTCAAAGAGACCCAAACACAAGAAACACAAAG